TGAGCAGGAAAACGCTTAAAAGCCATGTCCTGCTCCTCTAACAGGAACACATGTCCACCATCATCAGGTGACTCTAAAGGCTGAGGAACATAATCTTCATAAAAGGCGCTGAAGCCCGCCACTCCTGCAACAGCATCCAAGACCAGAGGACTGGCCTCTAGGCCTCTGGAGGCCAGCAGAGCAGCTTCAAGACCCAAACGAGAGGCGTTGCCGATGTGAAGGGGCTTGGACTGAGTGGCAGCATTAGCCATCGGAGCTCCAGCTAGAGAAGCTGCTATAGCCAAGGCATGACTGCACTGAGACGGATCCAGAGACAGGAGACGAGAACAGGCTGCTGCACTTCCCATAGGACCCACCACAGTGGGAGGATGGAACCTGTTCACACGTTCACACACACACACACACACACACACACACACACACACACACACACACACACACACACACACACACACACACACACACACACACACACACACTTCAGTTAGGACATTTATTCTGTTGTAACTGAAACAATCACTGATCTGCATCACCACTTAAGAACGTTTCTATTGGTTGAATCTTTAGAACAAGATGAATTGATTTGACTCGTTTCAGGTCACCTGAGTTTCTAAATCACCCACCAGATGAAGGGTTTGATTTGTGCTAATTCTGTTAACGTTACACCAAGAGCCCCTGCTGTTCCTACAGTAAGCATCATTACACTGACATCACTAAAACGGCCTCTTACACCTCAGTGCTGAGATCAGCACAGTCAAACAAGGACGTCTTTAAACGAATGTGTTCATGAAGATCGTGCTAAAACCAGACTTTCTGGTTCAAGCTTGACTTGTGCTGTGAGGCACTGACCTCTTGGGAATGCTGCGTGCTTCATTAGAGAACCTCATCAGACGGCCCTGGATCTCAGTGCCGACATTGAAGGCCAGTAAGAAGTCCAGACCACTTGGTTTGCTGTTATCCGGCATCATGTCACTGAGAGCAAACAAAGCTGGGAGAACAGCTCCTGAGGGATGAGTGGCTGGATGCCACGTGTCGTCAAAGTCCATGGAATGAGTCTGGAAGCAACCAGAGTTTGTGTCTCATCATACTGAAGCTGAAAGGAGTCAGAATAATAACTTTTTCTGCGAGGGTCATAACTAGATCAGAACCCAGCTATGAACTCCTTGCCTGTGCCGTGTCTGAATGATCCATTTCTTTATGTTTTTTTTTCTGAAGTGAACACTGACATGTTTTCTGTTCCTGGTGTGTTTTCAAAAGAAAAATGACTTTCATTCCTAAATCCAGCCATCGAGGGGGAAGAAAGTAGCTTCTTTGGAAATATTTGATGGGAAACTTTAAGGCCAGCTCAGCTGATTTTATTTCTACATCCTAACCCTGTGGTCTTTGGGAGCCACGCTGCACCAACAGCTGAGAAAAGCTGTTTATACAAAATGTTTCCACTGATGTTTATGTGGTTATTTATATATGGTTGTTTTCCACGTATGTTTCTCACCGCTACTCCATTAACGAAAGCTGCCAGTGTTGGGGAGAGTCTGATCCCTCTGCGTCCGTACACAGAGCTGATGTGATCCGGAGCATACATGTGCTAAGAACAAACACAGAAACAACCCTACATTCACTCATCTGTTCTGGACATATTTGGGTTGGACCTGACTCAGACTTTCACCTTGCCTCACCTGGCAGAACTGAAGAGCCAGCTCAAACACATCTGTCCTGCTCCCTATCAGTCCGACCCCGATGCTGTCCAGCACCATCCTTTTGCTGCGATGGAGCACAACCGGAGACAAATGCTGAGGCTTTATTTCACTGATGAACTTCCCAGAACGGGCTGTGACCATATCTTCTGGGGCTGGGTGCTTCTGGACTGCAGGAATGAAAAGATAAAAGTTGTTTAATAAAGGTTATTAATTAAGGTTATTATTATTATTTTTAATCAAAGTCAGCATATCTGTTTACCCTCCACTGCAGTGTTATGCAGTCTTCTGGCAGCCCGCACTGGTCTGATGGTTTACTTTGGGACAAAACATAAATCAGAACAAAGCACTTCAGTTATTTTTCACATCTCAGGATGACTACAGGCTGATGAGTTCCTGCATTTACTTGTTCACGTCTTTAATCTAATGTTTGTGTTTGAAAGAGCCAGTTTAGAGGTGTAACAGGTGTTTCCCAGCATGAGTGTTCTCCTCAACAATTAGCAGGAGTTATTTTATAGTTCCCTGCCTTGGCCGCACTACAAACCTCTACTTTTAGATATTTTTATGACTTCTTTATTTGAAAAGGACTTAAAACCATCACTTTTAGAGTCTGAAAACTGACTAAAAGCATAAATATGTCTGTAATCTTACCTGTAGCGTGGAGAACATGACTTCAAGTTTCTGTCACAATGATCTTGTTTCTTGTTTCTCTTGGATGCAGCAGCTGAGCAGTGAAGGATGCTGATGCTTTTGTGGCTGAAAATCCACCTGCCTTATATAGTCCAGGACTTACAATGACCGGAAACACCAAAGGAGCAGGAAGGGCAGGTTCCTTTTGCAATCCTGTATCACATCAGAATGAGGCTTTTCCACCCGGGTCATTATCTGTGGTGTAACGTTCACCATCATCAATAGCCTTGAGGGGGAGGAAGAGGAAAGAAGGAGGAAAAGCCACTTTTGTGTAAAGTGAAAGGCAGTGATGTCACCTGTAAGTATGCTGCTGTGTGACAGAGTGGGGAAATCTCAGTAACTCCTCCTTTACACAAACAGATCATATTTAAGGCAAACCTTCGTCCCTCCTTCAGCACAACTCAGCTTTCCATCAGTCTGAACAACTTCAACAGGTAAAACTTTGTTCTTTCTTTTATTGCTGACAGGAGTAAATATTTTGTTTCTGCATGTCACCCATCAAAAATCCTTAAACCTGTAGCTAGATTATTATATACTCTGCTTTGTAGATTGAATCAAACCTAAATCTGCAAAAAGGATGCTCCCTGACAAGAGTTTACAGTGGGGCAAAAAAGTATTTAGTCAGCCACCGATTGTGCAAGTTCTCCCACTTAAAATGATGACCGGGGTCAGTAATTTACATCATAGGTACACTTCAACTGTGAGAGACAGAATGTGAAAAAAAAAAATCCATGACTTCACATGGCAGGATTTTTAAAGAATTTATTTGTAAATCAGGGTGGAAAAAAAGTATTTGGTCAATAACAGAAATTCCACTCAATACTTTGTAACATAACCTTTGTTGGCAATAACAGAGGTCAAACGATTACTATAGGTCTTTACCAGGTATGCACACACAGTAGCTGGTATTTTGGCCCATTCCTCCATGCAGATCTTCTCGAGAGCAGTGATGTTTTGGGGCTGTCGCCGAGCAACACGGACTTTCAACTCCCTCCACAGATTTTCTATGGGGTTGTCTGGAGACTGGCTTGGCCACTCCAGGACTTTCAAATGCTTCTTACAGAGCCACTCCTTTGTTGCCCGCGCGGTGTGTTTGGGATCATTGTCGTGTTGGAAGACCCAGCCACGTTTCATCTTCAAAGCTCTCACTGATGGAAGGAGGTTTTGGCTCAAAATCTGTCAATACATGGCCCCATTCATTCTTTCCTTAACACGGATCAGTCGTCCTGTCCCTTTAGCAGAAAAACAGCCCCAAAGCATGATGTTCCCACCCCCATGCTTCACAGTAGGTATGGTGTTCTTGGGATGCAACTCAATATTCTTCTTCCTCCAAACACGACGAGTTGAGTTTATTCCAAAAAGTTCTACTTTGGTTTCATCTGACCACATGACATTCTCCCAATCCTCTGCTGTATCATCCATGTGCTCTCTGGCAAACTTCAGACGTGCCCGGACATGCACTGGCTTCAGCAGTGGAACACGTCTGGCACTGCAGGATTTGATTCCCTGCCGTAGTAGTGTGTTACTGATGGTGACCTTTGTTACTGTGGTCCCAGCTCTCTGCAGGTCATTCACCAGGTCCCCCCGTGTGGTTCTGGGATTCTTGCTCACCGTTCTCATGATCATTTTGACCCCACGGAATGAGATCTTTCATGGAGCCCCAGATCGAGGGAGATTATCAGTGGTCTTGTATGTCTTCCATTTTCTGATAATTGCTCCCACAGTTGATTTTTTCACACCAAGCTGCTTGCCTATCGTAGATTCACTCTTCCCAGTCTGGTGCAGGTCTACAATTCTTTTCCTGGTGTCCTTCGAAAGCTCTTTGGTCTTGGCCATAGTGGAGTTTGGAGTCTGACTTTTTGAGGCAGTGGACAGGTGCCTTTTATACAGATGAGTTCACACAGGTGCCATTAATACAGGTAATGAGTAGAGGACAGAAAAGCTTCTTAAAGAAGACGTTACAGGTCCGTGAGAGCCAGAGATTTTCCTTGTTTGAAGTGACCAAATACTTATTTTCCACCCAGATTTACAAATAAATTCTTTAAAAATCCTGCCATGTGAATTGAAGGATTTTTTTTCACATTCTGCCTCTCACAGTTGAAGTGTACCTATGATGTAAATTATTGACCTCTGTCATCATTTTAAGTGGGAGAACTTGCACAATCGGTGGCTGACTAAATACTTTTTTGCCCCACTGTATTTATAAATACTAAAACTATTATTGCAATATCCTGTAGTTTTTCAACAACATGAAAATAACAGTAATGTTAGGGGTATTATTCTATTGATAAAATTGTTTTCATTTAGAATAAATTCTTCCTCTTCAGAGAGCCTGTTAGCATCGTAATAAATGACTTTTACATTAGTTACATGACAAAAGTGGCTCAGCCTACTTATGACAGGCAAGGACCGTCTTATATTATATTATATTATATTATATTATATTATATTATATCATATCATATTATATCATATTATATTATATTATATTATATTATATTATATTATATTATATTATATTATATTATATTATACAGTCATATTAAAATTCATATATAAATGTTGTTGAGGATTACCATTTTAGACTTTTATCATATGTTACCTGTACTGACTGGATTGTCTACAGAAACACCATGGCAGCCTCAGACGGTTTTCCTGCCAGTTTCTATGGAGAACCAGGAGTGTTAGGAATGTTATCCAATGGGATCAGCGCATTCCTTGTACTTCTACAGAACTTCAGCACAGCTCACACTGGCATTAAACCAGTTGGAGTGGAGAACATACTTGCAGGTAAAACTCTTGACATAAACACAAATATCTATTCATATATAAACCTGTGAAGGTGGCTTACAGCAGTTTCTAACACTTCTTCCAGGTGTTCATCTCATCCTGATTGGTGGTTTGTGCCAGCTGGTGGCTGGACTGCTCTCCTTTAGAAAGTACGATCACCTGAGTGGCACTGCCTTCATCGGCTACGCTGCCCTTTGGGGTAGCTATGGGGCGACCAGAATCTACTATGGTGCTTTATTTAACAATCAGACTATACCATCAGTGTCAGAGCACATGCTCAATGGTTCAACCACCAACATGATGGTCAACACTTCTCTTCAAAACTCAACACAGTGCCACTTATGTGTGTCCATAGAAGAGTCAGCCATTGCTGGTCTGATCCCTTATATCCTTCTGTCCTTTATCCTGGCATTTTGCTCTGCCACGGTCAACTACATCATGCCTTTTGTTTTTGGAGCCATCACGGCCACTTTGATCTTTGAAACAGCAGCTCTGGTGACAGGCCCTTGGGCTCTGGTGGTCTCTGGGGTTCTGGAGCTGCTCATTTTGATCTTTGCCATCTATGGTTCAGCTGCTCTACTCATCAAAGGGCTGACTCAACGTCTGGTTCTTAAAGGCTTTGGGACCCCCCTCTTTAATGTTCTCCTGCTAGGAACCACCAACTCAACAGGTGCTCAGAAACCTGGTCAAGAGAAGAAGAAGAACACAAAATATGCAGAGCCCATGGCCTTGGGTTTCTTCTGTGACTCTATTGCTCCCTTCATCGTTGCCTTCTACAGCTTTGGGTACATGAAATCGTTTGGTTTAGGAGTTGCATGGGTATCAATCATCTCAGTCGCCCAGCTGTTCTCCAGCTACTACGCTCATTTGCGCCAGGATAGCTACCACACTACAAAATTTGGGATTCATGCCATGTATTGGCTGATCAAGGCTTGGGATGAGTTTGTGGCATCTGCCCTGATTGTGGAGCACAGTCAAGTTGTTGCTGGTAGGGAAGCCATGGTGGGAGACTGGTTCTTTGTGGTGGCCGGCTTGGTGCTCTGTGTGGGAAGCCTGAACATGGACACTCTGGAGCTGATCCACAACTTGCTCTTTGTTCTGCTCACAGTCTCAACAATCCCCCAGATCCCCCTGCAGGGTTACTACATCTTCTTTGGTGTAGCCTGCTCTCTCTTCACTGCAGTCTCAGTCTACCGTACCTTCTCACGCCTCATAAACACCATCGCAGAGAAGTCTCTAATCCCTGTGGGACCACAGCCGGTCTCCTCCGAGCAGCTGAAGAGAGCTCTGATGTGTAGAAGATCTCAACATGGAGAACAAAAAGAGCTGCCCAACAGTGACCAGGCCTCAGATGCTCTGTTTTATCTTACCAACGGGGTTGCAGCACTTTCAGCTCTTCATTCAGAAGTGTCAAGTGGGAACCCTTCATTCCTTCATCTGACTGTCCCCTGGGTCCTCATCTCTGGAGGCATCATTCAGACCTATGTCAGCAGGCTACAAGTCACCGGAGAGGGCCGGTTTGGATCAGTCATCTCATCCATCTACGTGGTTGTATGGGCAACTTGGACGTGGTTTCGATTTGCAGGTATGTCAGCATAAAGTATGAGCAAAATACATTTTTTCTGAATGATTTGAACAATATTCTCATCAGGAGTTATTGTTCTACAGGTTTTCAGCTTCAGCTCCCCGTCCAGGCAGCCTATGGATTCACAGCTGGAGGCGTTGCTTTACTGGTCATTAATGCCTTCCTCATGCTGATTGGTAAGGTCTAGTATCTGCTTTCAGCGCTGGAATTCAGTTTTTATTCATTCATAATTTTGTACTTTTGTTTCTTCTATTAGCTGCTTATAGGAACGTGGTTCTGTTGTTTCTAACAACAATCATGGAGGTTGTTCTTGTCTGCTTCCTTCTCTCCACCCTGCAGAGACTTCCATACCAACTTGAAAGTGAGTTAAAACCGCCTGTTATAAACTTTATGTATTTACGATGCTGACTCTCATCAGAACAAATAAAGTCTAACATCCAGAAACGATGTATTGCAGTTGCCATGCTTGCATTGGTATCCATCATTTGCTTTTATGGCACCTTGGCTTCACTGATGAACTGCATCTTCTCACAAAGAGTGATCCCAATGGGTCCTCCCATAATAAAGGTAATGACTGAAGTTTAGATTGACCTACCTTTAAGTATCAGCATGAATAATTAATAAAAATGTGTGTGTGTTTTGTTTTAGGAAAATGTGAAACAGGAAGCTTGTGACGAGCCGTCCTGTCCGGTGGCTAGCTCGCGTCTCACCAGCGGTCTGTTGAAGATAGCTCGACTTCTCGAGGACGGGGGTGTGTGTGGTATTCCCACAGATACTGTGTACGCTCTGGCTGCTTCCTGCAAGAATCCTCAGGCGATAGAAAAAATCTACAACATTAAAGTAAGAAGATGGAGGAGGCTTGTTTAACAGCAATATACATTTTCATGAAGTCACCATCTTGTTGAATTGGACCTTTTGCAGGACAGACCTGCAGAGAAGCCTATATGCATTTGCATCTCCAGTGTGGAACAGCTGGTTGCAGCCAGGCCTCCTTTCAGCCCTCTGCTGTGGGAGTTCATGAGGAATGTGTATCCTGGAGGCATCAGCTGCATTGTCAGCAAAGGAGACTGGCTTTACAGACTAGGTCAGCAGTGTAGAGTGTTTGAATGTTGAGTGGCAGAATTCTGTATCAGTTTTCAGTTTTTACGTGAACTTTAACCTCATTTCTGTAGGAGTTGGACCTGCTTATGACCGTGTTGGTACCAGAGACAGCATCATGATCCGTGTCCCAGACCACACCGTGACCTGCCACCTATGTGACATCACTGGTCCCCTGGCCATAACATCAGCCAATCCCAGTGGAGAATCAGACAGCACCCACCACAGCATGGTCATTAAGTAAGAGTCTCCTCAAAGAAGTTTAATGCAAACTAACAAACAACACATCTCTAACACTTTTAGCACCATACACTAATTACTGTTTCAAACTGCTTCTTTTGCTGCAGTCGACTGGGACACAAGATCCAAGGAGTACTTTGTGATGGTGACTCGAATGAAGTAGTTGCTTCAACTGTGGTCAACTGCCTGAGGATTAATGAAGGTAAGGGGCCATGATTTCTTCCTACTGGGGCTGTTTAAGGTCAAGTTTCTAACTGAAGCTCTTCTAACCTTCGTTCAGGAGTCATCACCATTGTGAGAGAAGGCTGTGTCCCTGCTATCAAAGTCCAACAGATCTTTGACAGACTGAAGAACTCCATGATTTGAGTGTCTCTTAGCAACGACTGTCTACCTGGCTGATCACCTTCAAGTCAACTTGTCTGACCCAAGCTGTGCTTTGCTTTTCATACTGACAAACAGCAAAAGAGGAAAAAGAAAACTAAAGATGTGTGTTTATATGGATGTAACTTTTGTGTCTTAGTGGATGCATAGATAGATAGCTAACTCAAAAGTCATCTTAAACTGCATGATCTCCATAATGTTTTGCACTATTTATATATTTATTGTTATATTTATTTTCAACATATATCAACAAAAACACTTTGAATATGTAAATAAGTATTTATGTTTTTTAATTTATAATGTTTGAACTCATTGTAAAACAGAATATCTTTGTGTGGTTTCTGCATTGAAGCTCTCTCTTGCATTAATTTATTTGTGCAATAAAAACAACTAAAGTTTATTAAGGCTTGCACCTTTAAATAATTACTAAATGTTTTCTAGATGAATGCATTCTCTTCCTCAATACATCTTTATTCAGATCTTCAGATAAAACAATAACAACAATGGTGTTTAAAAGCTTGACATAAATAGATATATTGTTGAACAATTACTAATTAAGCACTTGAAAGCATCTTGTTATTTGTCAGAGGTCATTAACTCAAGAACTCTGAAACAATTCAACCATCTAATTTTGTTATGAGCTCTTTAAATATGGGGATCCCTCGTTTAATCAATACATTTGCAGTGGTCTCTAGTAGTAATGAAGGCCTTGTAAGTCGTACTCTGGGGAAACAGAGCTCAGGAACAGTTTCAGGAAGTAGAAATGAGCCACATCAGAGTTTAGGATTGGCCTGAAGTAGCTAATGCCTTACCGCCAGGTGCGATTGGCTGCACCTGGCGGTAAGGCGTTTCCTGTTTCCTGTTTTCAGTGTTGCACTCCGTGTAGCTGTTTGGTGTTTGGGGCTCGCTAAAGCTGATTTAATTTCTCTGTACTTGGATATCTCTGAGTTATTGTAGCACAAAAGCACGCTAAAACGCACATTTTCTGTTGTTCCACCTAGCTTTTAGGGAACCATTTGAGTCCGCACGCAGTTTATTTGGTACTGAACAGTTTGCTGCTCGTCCAGTTAGCTTAGCCTCAGCACGGCTATGGCTACTTCTGTCTCTGCTTCTCCGTCTCCTATCTCTTGCGTGTCTCTGTGTCAGATGTTTAGTTACTCCTCTGCCTCCTTTAGTGATAATGGTACGTGTAATAAATGTAGCATTTTTGTAGCTTTGGAGGCGAGGGTGTAGGAATTGGAGTCCCGGCTCCGCGCTGTTGAAAAACCTGTAAACAACCGTAGTTACTTAGCTAGCGCAGGGCTAACTAGCTCATAACAACCCCGTAGCGACCCTCCAGTGGAACCCGAGCAGCCGGGACCTCAGGCCGGCTGGGTGACGGTACGCAGGAAGCATAGAACCCAGCCCTTGGGCCACCACCAACCCGTCCACGTTTCTAATAGATTTTCCCCGCTCAGTGACACACCCACTGACAAGCCGACTCTGATCATTGGCAGCTCCATAGTCAGAAACGTGGCATTAGAGACTCCAGCAACCATAGTTAAATGTTTACCTGGGGCCAGAGCGGGCGACATTAAATCTTATCTGAAACTGCTGGCTAAGGATAAGCGTAAATACAGTAAGATTGTTATTCACGCTGGCGGTAACGACACCCGGTTACGCCAATCGGAGGTCACAAAAATTAATGTTGCTTTGGTGTGTAAGTTTGCCAAAACAATGTCGGACTCCGTAATTTTCTCTGGCCCCCTGCCTGATCGGACCAGTGACGACATGTTTAGCCGCATGTTGTCCTTCAACCGCTGGTTGTCTAGGTGGTGTCCTGAAAACAACGTGGGCTACATTGATAATTGGAAAACTTTTTGGGGAAAACCTGGTCTGATGAGGAGAGACGGCATCCATCCCTCTTTGGATGGTGCAGCTCTTCTTTCTAGGAATATGGCCAGTTTTATTAGTCCTCCATGACAACCCAGGGTCCAGACCAGGAAGCAGAGTCATAGTTTAACCCACCCCTCTGCAGCTTCTGTACTGCTACCCACCCACTACCCCATAGAGACAGTGTCCTGCCCACGGCCAAAATCACACAGAATAAATATCAGGCTTAATAAAGCAAATCATGGAAATCTCATAAATATTAGAACAAATTGAACTGAGCAGAAAACTAGAAAAATTAAAGGTGGGTTGTATAACATTAGATCTATTTTTTCTAAGACTTTGTTAGTTAATGAGTTGATTTGTGATAATCAGATCTCTTTGCTCTCTGTCACAGAATCCTGGCTGCAGCAAGAGGACTATGTTAGCTTAAACGAGTCGACTCCTTCAAATTATTTAAATCATCACATTGCTCAAAGTACAGGGCGAGGAGGAGGAGTGGCAACCATTTTTCATTCGGACTTATTAATCAGTCCCTTACAGATTAAAAGCTACAGTTCGTTTGAACATCTTATTCTAAGTTTTCCTAATCCAGATTGCAAAACTGTAAAACCACTCTTGTTTGTAGTTTTATATCGTCCACCAGGCCCTTACTCTGAGTTTTTGGATCAGATCTCTGATTTTTTATCTGATTTGGTGCTAAATACTGATAAGGTCATTGTAGTGGGGGATTTCAACATTCACGTGGACATCAAAAATGATTGCCTCAATGTAGCCTTTAGCAATATCTTAGACTCAATTGGTTTTACTCAAAGAATACATAGCTCCACCCACTCCTGCCATCATACATTGGACCTTGTGCTGACTTATGGCATAGAGTGTGAGGAAATAACAATCTTTCCACATAATCCAGTCCTCTCGGACCACTTTCTGATAACCTTTGAGTTTTTTATAACTGAGTTCTCGAGACATGAAAGTAAATTTCATTATAGTCGGTCTCTATCTGACAACGCTGTTGCGTCTTTTAAATCAACTGTTCCATCTTTACTGTCCTCAGCATCTTAGAGTCATGTAGCAGAGGGCAATATTTTCAGTTCTAGCCCCTCACAAATTGATGCCTTAGTTCATAATGTTACTTCCTCCTTACGTGTGGCATTAGATGATGTTGCCCCTTTAAAAAAGAAGGTAATTAGGGACAGGAATTTGGCTCCCTGGTTTAACTCTCATCTACGAGCCTTAAAACAAAACTCTAGGAAATTGGAGAGAACATGGCGCTCTACGCACCATGAGAAGGCCTACCTGTCCTGGAAAAATAGTCTTGTGCTTTATAAAAATAAGCTTCAACAAACTAGAACTGCTTATTTTTCAGCATTAATTGAGGAGAATAAGCATAATCCTAAATTTCTTTTCAGTACAGTTCTAAACTTACACAGAATCGTAGCTCTGAGCCATCTATTCCCTTAGCCCTCAGCAGCAATGACTTCATGGGATTTTTTACAAGTAAAATTAATTCTATTAGAAACAAAATCTTTAGCATCCTCCCTAATGCGATTTCTTCTTCCTCAGTAAGTGAGGCAGCTTCAGAGGTGACTATAGAACCTCATCTGTGCTTGAACCGTTTTGATCCAGTTGAGCTTTCAGAGTTATCAAAAATATTAGCTTCATCTAAACCTTCAACTTGCATTTTGGATCCAATCCCAACCAAATTATTTAAAGATGCATTTCCTTTGGTTACTGCCACCATTCTAGATATAATCAATCTATCCTTAGTAAATGGGTATGTACCACAAGATTTTAAGGTTGCTGTAATCAAACCTTCACTTAAGAAGCCTTCTCTGGATCCAGATGACCCAATGAATTACAGACCAATATCTAACCTTCCATTTTTATCCAAAGTCCTGGAGAAAATAGTGGCCATCCAAGTATGTCAGCATTTAAACACTAATGCTCTGTTTGAGGAATTTCAGTATGGTTTTAGAGAGTATCACAGCACTGAAACTGCATTAGTGAGAGTTACAAATGATATTCTTATGGCCTCAGATAAGAATCTTGTGTCTGTTCTAGTCTTGTTAGATCTCAGTGCTGCCTTTGACACAGTTGATCACAATGTTCTTTTAGAAAGACTTGAACATGTTGTAGGGATCAAAGGAACAGCGTTAGGCTGGTTTAAATCCTACCTGTCTGACAGATTTCATTTTGTAAATGTACATGACAAATCTTCTTCATACTCCAGGGTTACTTGCGGAGTACCACAGGGTTCAGTGCTTGGACCAATTATTTTTACTATATATATGCTCCCAATTGGTAAAATCATTAGACAGCATGGGATAAACTTCCACTGTTATGCTGACGACACTCAGCTATATTTATCCATTAACCCTGATGAACCTAATCAGTTGGGTGGATTACAGGCTTGTCTTGAGGACATAAAATGTTGGATGACTCTAAACTTCTTGCTTTTAAATCAAGACAAGACGGAAGTTCTCATCTTTGGACCAGAAATCCAGAAAAGGAAATTGCTTAACCAATCGCCTGACCTGAATGGCATTACATTAATCTCCGAGAAAAAAGTCAGGAACCTTGGTGTTATCTTTGACCAGGACATGTCATTCAAATCCCAGGTTTCACAAGTTTGTAGGATTTCCTTTTTCCACCTTCGGAATATTGCTAAGATTAGAAGCATCCTTTCCAGAAGTGATGCTGAAAAACTAGTTCATGCATTTATTACATCTAGACTGGATTACTGTAATTCATTGCTCTCAGGAAGTCCACAGAATGTAGTTAAAAGTCTTCAGCTTGTCCAAAATGCTGCAGCTAGAGTTCTGATGAGAATTAAAAAGAGAGATCATATCTCTCCTGTCTTAGCTTCCCTACATTGGCTACCTGTTAAATTCAGAATAGATTTTAAGATCCTCCTTCTCACATATAAAGCTCTTAATAATCAAGCTCCATCATACATCAGTGATCTGATTGTTCCATACGTTCCTAACCGAGCACTTCGCTCTCAGACTGCAGGTCTACTGGTGGTACCCAGAATATCTCAAATTAGTATGGGAGGCAGATCTTTTAGTTATCAGGCTCCTCTCCTGTGGAACCAGCTCCCAGCTTTAGTCCGTGAGGCAGACACTATGTCTACTTTTAAGAATAGGCTTAAAACATTTTTATTTGATAGGGCCTATGGTTAAAATCTGATGTTAGCCTAAATCTGGACAAGTGGGGGAGTACAGGGAGGTGGAGTGTTCAGTCGGTAAAGACGGCTTTCCCTTGCCCTGACTCCAACATGGCTCCATCTAAATAGGATAGATTATCCAGAGTTATCTCTGTAGTTATGCTGCTATAGGCTTAGAATGCTGGAGGACACACTGACCACTTTTCACACTCTACTGCTTTCTTCTACAGTCTGCTCTTTAACTGTACTATTTTCTGCAATTTCAGCTGTTAACTTTATTTTCTCTGTAAGTGTTTTTCTCCCCAGAAGAAGCTACAACGACATTCTGCTGAGCTGTGGTGGCCTCATGGAGGGGGCCATCGACTAGCACACTGCTGCTAACCACTAAAACATTCTCCCTCTCCTGATAATGGCTTTTTGCTTTCCTTGACGTTGGATGTGCTAATACTAGTTTATCCGTTTAATTATAGATCCACTAGGATAAATACAATAAAGTTTATTGTACTCCAGCTGCAGCATTTTGGACAAGCTGAAGACTTTTAACTACATTCTGTGGACTTCCTGAGAGTAATGAATTACAGTAAACCAGTCTTGATGTAATAAATACATGAACTAGTTTTTCAGCATCACTCCTGGAAAGGATGCATCTAATCTTAGCAATATTCCAAAGGTGAAAAAAGGAAATCCTACAAACCAGTTTAACGTGAGAGTCCTGGTCGAAGACACTAAGGTTCCTTACTTTGTCCTCTGAGACTAATTTAATGCTGTTCAGGTCAGATGATTGGCTAAACAATTTCCTTTTCTGAAGTTCCGGTCCAATAATGAGAACTTCAGTCTTGATTTAAAAGCAGAAAGTTTAGAGTCATCCAATTTTTTATGTAACAGGAAGAAACTTGCAAAGAATCCTGGAGCCATCTGCCATGAACCACTTGGGATTGAGAAGACAGAGCACACGCATGCACACACACACACACACACACACACACACACACACACACACACACACACACACACACACACACACACACACACACACACACACACACACACACACACACACACACACACACACACACACAGGTGACTTTATGACCATGTGTTTTACATGTTTGAAACACTTTATTATGTACACATTTTGAGAAAAGGTTGCAAGAAACACATTTTCTTAGATTAACAATATTTATATAAAAACAGGCATTAAACAATAAATATGACTCACACACACGAGTCATGTTTTTATCTGAATTTTGTTACGATAAAAACAGAATTCAATACCAAAAGACAATATTGAACAACAGAGGAAACATCAGCTTGAGGAAAACTCCAGAGGAAAAACATGGCAATGTGTTTATTTCCAGTCTACACTAAGGAGATCATTTAAAAACATTAATATAAAAATGATATGATTCTTATTTATATGCTGAAGGATTGTTGCTTTATTGTTCAGTGTTATTGATCACTGCAGCTGTGAGAGAAGAGCTCCACAATCATCCAGCCTGTCCAGCTCCTCCACCACCTCCACCAGCCGCTCCACCTTCTCTGATGGCAGCACCACCTCTGCGTTGCTTCTGAACTTCTTGCTCAGGCTCTCGTTTGTCAGCGGGTTGCGCCAGTGGCCGTAGAAGGTGTCACAGCGGCCCTTCAGGATGTCTCCTCCATCTAGAGTCACCTGGACTTCTCCGTACATGCGGTTGAAATTGGCGGGGTTGTCCTCAGGATGCTCCATGCGAACACGGCTTAGCAGGAAGTGCAGCTCTGGGCGGCTCATGGCGGGCGGGCTGAAGGACTGCACTGTCACCTCACCGTCCAGCAGAGCGCTGCAGGCGTTAAACTGGAAGGAGTGGCGTGCCTCGTGCTCTGACTCGGGGAAAGGCCTGTTGATGTATTTAGACTGGGGGACTCTGAGCAGGATGTCCTGGACCTGATGTGGGGACACCTGTCCTAGACCATGTCCCACAAGGAGCTCATGGACCGCAGCTGCAGCATCAGCCACCCAGTGCATCCCCAGATGGGCAGGAAAACGCTTAAAAGCAATGTCCTGCTCCTCTAACAGGAACACATGTCCACCACCATCAGGTGACTCTAAAGGCTGAGGAACATAATCTTCATAAAAGGCGCTGAAGCCCGCCACTCCTGCAACAGCATCCAAGACCAGAGAACTGGCCTCTAGGCCTCTGGAGGCCAGCAGAGCAGCTTCAAGCCCCAAACGAGAGGCGTTGCCGATGTGAAGGGGCTTGGACTGAGTGGCAGCATTAGCCATCGGAGCTCCAGCTAGAGAAGCTGCTATAGCCAAGGCATGACTGCACTGAGACGGATCCAGAGACAGGAGACGAGAACAGGCTGCTGCACTTCCCATAGGACCCACCACAGTGGGAGGATGGAACCTGTTCACACACACACACACACACACACACACACACACACACACACACACACACACACACACACACACACACACACACACAGTTCAGTTAGGACATTTATTCTGTTGTAACTGAAACAATCACTGATCTGCATCACCACTTAAGAATGTTTCTATTGGTTGAATCTTTAGAACAAGATGAATTGATTTAACTCGTTTCAGGTCACCTGAGTTTCTAAAACACCCACCAGATGAAGGGTTTGGTTTGTGCTAATTCTGTTAACGTTACACCAAGAGCCCCTGCTGTTCCTACAGTAAGCATCATTACACTGACATCACTAAAACGGCCTCTTACACCTCAGTGCTGAGATCAGCACAGTCAAACAAGGACGTCTTTAAACGAACGTGTTCATGAAGATCGTGCTAAAACCAGACTTTCTGGTTCAAGCTTGACTTGTGCTGTGAGGCACTGACCTCTTGGGAATGCTGCGTGCTTCATTAGAGAACCTCATCAGACGGCCCTGGATCTCAATGCCGACATTGAAGGCCAGTAAGAAGTCCAGACCGCTTGGTTTGCTGTTAGCCGGCATCATGTCACTGAGAGCAAACAAAGCTGGGAGAACAGCTCCTGAGGGATGAGTGGCTGGATGCCACGTGTCGTCAAAGTCCATGGAATGAGTCTGGAAGCAACCAGAGTTTGTGTCTCATCATACTGAAGCTGAAAGGAGTCAGAATAATAACTTTTTCTGTGAGGGTCATAACTAGATCAGAACCCAGCTATTTCTGTATCCTAACCCTGTGGCCTTTGGGAGCCACGCTGCACCAACAGCTGAGAAAAGCTGTTTATACAAAATGTTTCCACTGATGTTTATGTGGTTATTTATATATGGTTGTTTTCCACTTATGTTTCTCACCGCTACTCCATTAACGAAAGCTGCCAGTGTTGGGGAGAGTCTGATCCCTCTGCGTCCGTACACAGAGCTGATGTGATCCGGAGCATACATGTGCTAAGAACAAACACAGAAACAACCCTACATTCACTCATCTGTTCTGGACATATTTGGGTTGGACCTGACTCAGACTTTCACTTTGCCTCACCTGGCAGAACTGAAGAGCCAGCTCAAACACATCTGTCCTGCTCCCTATCAGTCCGACCCCGATGCTGTCCAGCACCATCCTTTTGCTGCGATGGAGCACAACCGGAGACAAATGCTGAGGCTTTATTTCACTGATGAACTTCCCAAAACTGGCTGTGACCGTATCTTCTGGGGCTGGGTGCTTCTGGACTGCAGGAATGAAAAGATAAAAGTTGTTTAATAAAGGTTATTAATTAAGGTTATTATTATTATTTTTAATCAAAGTCAGCATATCTGTTTACCCTCCACTGCAGTGTTATGCAGTCTTCTGGCAGCCCGCACTGGTCTGATGGTTTTCTTTGGGACAAAACATAAATCAGAACAAAGCATTTCAGTTATTTTTCACATCTCAGGATGACTACAGGCTGATGAGTTCCTGCATTTACTTGTTCACGTCTTTAATCTAATGTTTGTGTTTGAAAGAGCCAGTGTAGAGGTGTAACAGGTGTTTCCCAGCATGAGTGTTCTCCTCAACAATTAGCAGGAGTTATTTTATAGTTCCCTGCCTTGGCCGCACTACAAACCTCTACTTTTAGATATTTGTATGACTTCTTTATTTGAAAAGGACTTAAAACCATCACTTTTAGAGTCTGAAAACTGACTAAAAGCATAAATATGTCTGTAATCTTACCTGTAGCGTGGAGAACATGACTTCAAGTTTCTGTCACAATGATCTTGTTTCTTGTTTCTCTTGGATGCAGCAGCTGAGCAGTGAAGGATGCTGATGCTTTTGTGGCTGAAAATCCACCTGCCTTATATAGTCCAGGACTTACAATGACCGGAAACACCAAAGGAGCAGGAAGGGCAGGTTCCTTTTGCAATCCTGCATCACATCAGAATGAGGCTTTTCCACCCGGGTCATTATCTGTGGTGTAACGTTCACCATCATCAATAGCCTTGAGGGGGAGGAAGGAGAAAGAAGGAGGAAAAGCCACTTTTGTGTAAAGTGAAAGGCAGTGATGTCACCTGTAAGTATGCTGCTGTGTGACAGAGTGGGGAATTCTCAGTAACTCCTCCTTTACACAAACAGATCATATTTAAGGCAAACCTTCGTCCCTCCTTAAGCACAACTCAGCTTTCCATCAGTCTGAACAACTTCAACAGGTAAAACTTTGTTCTTTATTTTATTGCTGACAGGAGTAAATATTTTGTTTCTGCATGTCACCCATCAAAGATCCTTAAACCTGTAGCTAGATTATTATATACTCTGCTTTGTAGATTGAATCAGACCTAAATCTGCATAAAGGATGCTCCCTGACAAGAGTTTATTTATAAATATTAAAACTATTATTGCAATATCCTGTAGTTTTTCAACAACATGAAAATAACAGTAATGTTAGGGGTATTATTCTATTGATAAAATTGTTTTCATTTAGAATAAATTCTTCCTCTTCAGAGAGCCTGTTAGAGGAGCGTCGTAATAAATGACTTTTACATTAGTTACATGACAAGAGTGGCTCAGCCTACTTATGACAGGCAAGGACCGTCTTATATTATATTATATTATATTATATTATATTATATTATATTATATTATATTATATTATATTATACTCAGTCTTTCATTGGTTCTTTTAAAAATTCTTATATTAATGTTGTTGTTGACGATTACCATTTTAGACCTTTATCATAAGTTTGGATTGTCTACAGAAACACCATGGCAGCAGACGGGTTTCCTGCCAGTTTCTATGGAGAACCAGGAGTATTAGGAATGTTAACACTCCAGGCAGCCTATGGATTCACAGCTGGAGGCGTTGCTTTACTGGTCAATAATGCCTTCCTCATGTTGATTGGTAAGGTCTAGTATCTGCTTTCAGCGCTGGAATTCACAGTTTTTATTGATTCATAATTTTGTACTTTTGTTTCTTCTATTAGCTGCTTATAGGAACGTGGTTCTGTTGTTTCTAACAACAATCATGGAGGTTGTTCTTGTCTGCTTCCTTCTCTCCACCCTGCACAGACTTCCATACCAACTTGAAAGTGAGTTAAAACCGCCTGTTATAAACTTTATGTATTTACCATACTGACTCTCATCAGAACAAATAAAGTCTAACATCCAGAAACGATGTATTGCAGTTGCCATGCTTGCATTGGTATCCATCATTTGCTTTTATGGCACCTTGGCTTCACTGATGAACTGCATCTTCTCACAAAGAGTGATCCCAATGGGTCCTCCCATAATAAAGGTAATGACTGAAGTTTAGATTCACCTACCTTTAAGAATCAGCAAGAATAATTAACAAAAATGTGTGTGTTTTGTTTTAGGAAAAAGTGAAACAGGAAGCTTGTGACGAGCCGTCCTGTCCGGTGGCTAGCTCGGGTCTTACCAGCGGTCTGTTGAAGATAGCTCGACTTCTCGAGGACGGGGGTGTGTGTGGTATTCCCACAGATACTGTGTACGCTCTGGCTGCTTCCTGCAAGAATCCTCAGGCGATAGAAAAAATCTACAACATTAAAGTAAGAAGATAGAGGAGGCTTGTTTAACAGCAATATACATTTTCATGAAGTCACCATCTTGTTGAATTGGACCTTTTGCAGGACAGACCTGCAGAGAAGCCTATATGCATTTGCATCTCCAGTGTGGAACAGCTGGTTGCAGCCAGGCCTCCTTTCAGCCCTCTGCTGTGGGAGTTCATGAGGAATGTGTATCCTGGAGGCATCAGCTGCATTGTCAGCAAAGGAGACTGGCTTTACAGACTAGGTCAGCAGTGTAGAGTGTTTGAATGTTGAGTGGCAGAATTCTGTATCAGTTTTCAGTTTTTACGTGAACTTTAACCTCATTTCTGTAGGAGTTGGACCTGCTTATGACCGTGTTGGTACCAGAGACAGCATCATGATCCGTGTCCCAGACCACACCGTGACCTGCCACCTATGCAACATCACTGGACCCCTGGCCATAACATCAGCCAATCCCAGTGGAGAATCAGACAGCACCCACCACAGCATGGTTATTAAGTAAGAGTCTCCTCAAAGAAGTTTAATGCAAACTAACAAACAACACATCTCTAAAACTTTTAGCACCATACACTAATTACTGTTTCAAACTGCTTCTTTTGCTGCAGTCGACTGGGACACAAGATCCAAGGAGTACTTTGTGATGGTGACTCGAATGAAGTAGTTGCTTCAACTGTGGTCAACTGCCTGAGGATTGATGAAGGTAAGGGGCCATGATTTCTTCCTACTGGGGCTGTTTAAGGTCAAGTTTCTAACTGAAGCTCTTCTAACCTTCGTTCAGGAGTCATCACCATTGTGAGAGAAGGCTGTGTCCCTGCTATCAAAGTCCAACAGATCTTTGACAGACTGAAGAACTCCATGATTTGAGTGTCTCTTAGCGAAGACTGTCTACCTGGCTGATCACGTTCAAGTCAACTTGTCTAACCCAAGCTGTGCTTTGCTTTTCATACTGACAAACAGCAAAAGAGGAAAAGGAAAACTAAAGATGTGTGTTTATATGGATGTAACTTTTGTGTCTTAGTGGATGCATAGATAGATGGCTAATTCAAAAGTCATCTTAAACTGCATGAACTCCATAATGTTTTGGACTATTTATATATGTATTGTTATATTTATTTTCAAAATATATCAACACAAACACTTTGAATCTGTAAATAAATAGTTATGTTTTTTAATTTATAATGTTTGAACTAATTGTAAAACAGAATGTCTTTGTGTGGTTTCTGCATTGAAGCTCACTCATGCATTAATTAATTTGTGCAATAAAAATAACTAAAGTTTATTAAGGCTTGCATCTTTAAATAATTACTAAATGTTTTCTAGATGAATGCATTCTCTCCCTCAATACATCTTTATTCAGATCTTCAGATAAATCAATAACAACGATGGTGTTTAAAAGCTTGACATAAATAGATATATTTTTGAACAATTGCTAATTAAGCACTTGAAAGCATCTAGTTATTTGTCAGAGGTCATTAGCAGCTCAAGAACTCTGAAACAATTCAACCATCTAATTTTATTATGAGCTCTTTAAAGATGGGGATCCCTTGTTTAATCAATACATTTGCAGTGGTCTCTGGAAGGAATCAAGGCCTTGCAAGTCGTACTCTGGGGAAACAGAACTCTGGAACAGTTTCAGGAAGTAGAAATGAGCCACATCAGAGTTGAGGATTGGCCTGAAGTAGCTAATGCTAACTGTTAGCTTAGATCTTTGGACACATTGTCTGCTGTTTCCTGGACCCTAAACCAACAACAGCCTTCCCTGTCGTGAGTCAAGATAGACAAGTCCATCAATGCTATCTGACATTATATATATATATATCTTTTCTTTTCTTTCTTGGAATATATATATATTCACTTTCTTTTCCGGCAGTCGCAGAGAACACACGCTTCTTTTTTTCCTCCCTCATCTTTTTTCCCAAGGCTCTTTGTCCTGTTTGCCCACAGAATGCTTCTCTGCACTTCTTCTGAAACACCCTATTTTTTAGGAATGGATTTGATAAATTGGTCATTCAACGCAATTGATAAGATTTTTTCAACAATTAGAACGGAGCAGGGGGCTCCCACTTGCCCACAAGGGACACACCCAGCAGGATATATGATGGATTCCTGGAAAGAGTGGAAGATCGAATGGCTCTCCCAGATGTCCATTGAGGACGTTGAAGACGGGTGGATGTCTGGCCTGATGATCACTGGATTTCTTCTGATTGGAGTGGGAGGATATCTGGTTTTCTGGAAATTTGGGAAGACAGGAGCGATTGGAGGGCGACCCGCACCCACGAAGAGCACCGTCCTTTTGGAGACCTCACAGACTGGGATGCTACTCGAGGTGAATCGCAAGCTGGGCAATGTTCTAGCTGCGATACCGAAGTTAGTGCGCAAATGGATGTCATCTCGGAGAGGGTCACTGGACGGTGTGGAGATGTTTAAAATTTAAATTGGCTTCACTGGAGGACTTGAATGATCAGTTACAGACTGAAGGCAGAGAGGAAAATTATCTCAGCCTGACCCAAACAAAGTCTTGTTATCCGAATCTGACGCCATGGCAGCCTTGAGATGCCAACAACAAACCCCACGAAGGAATGCAGACAGATGCTGTGAAAACCCGACCTACCCCCCCCACCCCCCCCACCCCACCCCCACCCCCGCCTTCACATTGGTGGACTTCAGCCTGGCGAGGTCATCAACCTGCAGGTGTCAATGTGCTCTGCATTCCTCCCAAGATCTCCCTCCCACCTGTGGCTACAGTGGATGAGCGCCATACAGGGCTGCTATCGCTGGGGAAACAGGATCCCAGCCCCCCCCCCACCCCCACCCCCCCCCCCCCCCCGCCTTCCTATCGGTGTCTCATGTTGTGCACTGTTGATGTTCGTGCTCATATGTTTGAGGCGTTTTTTGCATAGTAAAGCTGTGCCCTGCTGGGTGTAACTCTTGTATGCCTGTTTTCCCTCCCCCAATTTATCCTCATGTAATCCCCTTTTCATCTAATTGAAATGAGCACAGTTATGGCTGCTCTTGTGGTCTGCCTGTATCTGTTCTGTCTACATGTGTGTGTGTAACCTTGGTCAGGCTGTGCTG